ACAAAAAGCCATTTAAACATGCTAGATCCTCATTTTGCTTCCAGGACAGCTAATCAGAGCTCTGCAAGGGAGTATGTTCCAACCCCTCTTCTATTCATATAGCAAAATCTCTGGGTTAGGTATCAAGGTACTTAAGGATAAGAGACACTGTGCTCACACTTAATGACCACATGAACCTCCACTAATGCAGTTGTCGTGCATTGACCTTGGCCGGATTCTAGGCACCAACTAAAGCTGCTCTGAGCTGGGAGAGGTCACACAGGCAAAACAGACTCAGCATGGGGTTAATACTAAAATTTATTACTAACAGGATAAGATCTAAAGAGTGGGAAATAAAATAGCCTTAAACACACTTTCCACCCACCCGTCCTTCCTTCCATGTTCTCCCTTCTCCCCGCACTGCTGCGGGGAGACAAGTCCACCCCTCGGGCAACAGTTCTTCCAACTCTGCTGTCCCATAGGTCACTCTTTCATGGGCTGCAGGGGAACAGCCTGCTCCACCATGGTCCTCACCATGGGTTACAGGGGGGGCCCACAGCTCATCCTTCCCCTGTTCTGTGGGGTAGTAGTCCTTGATGGACCTCTCCAACGTGGGTCCACCCCTCGGGCCGCAGGTCTTCCAAATCTGCCATCCCAAGGGTCATTCCTCCCTGGGGTGCAGGGGGTCTCTGCACCCCAGTGGTCCTTCATAGGATGCAGCCCTTCATAGGGTGAGCTGTACTGATGTGGATCCCCCACAGGGCCATGAGTCCTACCCGGGAATAACCTGCTCCGGCGTGGATTTCCCCCTCCACGGGCCACAAGTCTCTTGAAGGACTTGGCTCCATCCTGGGCCTTCCACAGAGGGTAACAGCCTTCTTCTATGCATCCACCTGCTCCAGCATGGGCTGCTAGCAGGGCAGGCCCGGGGGGCTGTGGGGCCGCTCTCCGTGGGACCACATGCCCCGGGCCCGGCCCTGGCCGCCCCTTTGCAGGGGTCGCCGCTCCGCTCGGCCGGCACTGCAAGAGAGCGGCATGGGCAGCTCGGCCGGGGCACCACTGCCTGCTCTGGGCTACATGCTGAGAGGCCCAGACCAGGCTGCTGCACACATATATCAGCATAAATGTATGTCTAAATTTTGGTAGAATCAAGGCATTAAGGTATCTCTAGATATTTTTATCACCTGTTCCCATGATATTTAGTTTACTTAGAGAGTCATTTAAACATGAGACACTTAATGAAAGCATAGTAAGACAATTTTTTAACTGAAAGTGAATTTTCTTTAAGGGAAATGGCTTAAAAGGACAGCTGAGATCAGGTGGGAATAGAGGATGAATGCTTTTTTTCCCTTGTTAAAAATACCCCTTGGCTTTGCACCGCTGAAACCACTGGACATGTTGTCACTGATTTCCACAGATACAGGAAAAGGTCTTTTTATTTAAGCAGCTTATACATGAGCAGATATTAAAAAGGTGAAAGAATGCTTGTCAGCAGAGTAAAGCTCTACCAAAAATAATCTTTACAGATGTAAAATATTCTTGCAAAACAAACTACATGTCGATAAAGAGCCAGATCACTCTGGTGTGGTATGTAGTCAGAGACACATTTGTCACATATTGCTTCACATTCAAAAGTCTGTGGATCCAAGAACACAGGCCTAACACTTTTAGGTGTGACCTGCTGCTGAAAATGGAAATCCCCTCTGCACTCTGGCATTACATTAAAAATTATTTATGAATGGTGGCACAAACTGAGCACCAACCTTTCGCTCTATAGTCCAGCAGACAGGCTTGTGTTATAAAATGCTTAAGTCAAAGAACTACAATCAAAAAAAGGCAAAATAAACAATCCATTATTCTCCTGGCCTTGTATCAAAGCTATTACGGACATTTTGGCCTCATATACAGAAATTGCAGATCAGCAGGACAGGCATCCTTTAAAACCTGACTAGAGCTGTGCCAGGTGCCCCTACCTCCACAGCCCCAAGGCACTGGCTGTCCCAGGGCAGGATTCACAGAGCACAGGCTGTAAACCCCTTCTTCACCTCATCCCTCTAAATGCCACTACACGGATCCAGCCTGGGACAGGAGGAGGAGGTCCTTCCCAGAAGTTAAAATTTTGAGGGGGTTCTGAAGAGGAAATCTCCATGGCATTTTTACTTCTCTGTACTGCTTTAGAGATTAACATATTGGGGAAGAAAATAATTATCACATATATCTCCTAGCACATAAACCTGTTGCTTGCACAGTGGCTCTAGAAAAATATTTTCAAAAAAGTGCAATTATACTGAGGGTATTGGAATAAAGATAAAGAAAACAGACTTTGCAATGAGCATTCTTTTATTCCCAGCTAGTAGGATGGGAATTTTTAAGTACACCAACCAAAATTTTCAATGTACTTTTTCATTTGGCAGTCATCTATTCAGTTGTCTTTTACAGTCAAGTAAAATTACCATTGCAATGTATTTCATTTTCTAAATTGAAAAAAAAATGGAACTACAGATTTCCTACTGAGAATGCAATAATTTGAATAATGGGACCTTTTAAACTTACAATATTATAAACAGTTATTTCCTTTTCACCCAATAAAATGTGGTTTTTTCACCTCCTTGAGCATACTAGCTTCCCCATAGCCAGGGTAAAGCTCCAGAGACTAAAAAATCCTTCACTTCCTAAAAACTGAACAAGACCTTTTCCAATAAAGACCAAATGGGAAAGAATAAAAAAAATTTAAAAATAAATAAAGGAGTATTAATAATGCTATTTTATTATAAGAACAAACTGAATGACCATTAGGATGCATGCCTGAAATAAGAGGGGGAATAAGATCAAAATTATGTATGTGCAGTTTCCCTAAAACACAGATTAAATAATTTGTACATGTCTTTGCTGAATAACTAAGTTAATATCTGTATAATGTCTCAAAAATAGGAACTCTGAAACTAGCAGGTATCTGGATATATGACAACTGACACACAGTGACACCGATTCACAGTGATGAAATCGACCCACTGGGGGAGCCAAGATTCAGGTGCCACACACCCTGTTCCCATCTGGCAGCCCCACCGCTGGGACTGCTGGGACAACGACAGCGATGACACTTGTGCCCAACTGAGGGCTCATGGAAAGGGGTGGCCCAGTCACCTGCCCCACTCGGACAAGGGGACACAACAGAGATGTGGATACTTGCTTGTCCTGACAGCACTGAGCTCAAACCTTGCCAAAATTGTTCTCTCACAACAAAATGACCTGTTGAGGTTACTTTTTTTCTAATGTAAAAATGATTTTTTTAAAATTACACCACACATACGTTTCAGTTACTCGAAAAATCAGGCCCCACCCATAGCAAAGGTGCCTTCAAAATACAAACCCACACTTTGTTACACATCCATTCTTAACTGTATGAAAGATACTCAGGTTCAAATGCCACATAAACAACAATTTGTCAGAGAACAGTAACATCAAATGTAACTATAAATTACATCACTATATGGCATTAGAGTTTTTAGTAATATAATACGCCCCTCCCAAAAGAGGTTTGGCTATTTAAAAATGCTAAATTCACACGCCAAATTAAGAAAAAAACCAATACTTTTAAATTTGCAGTCAAAGATGTGCTGCGCTGTGTGGTGTGACAACATACGGATCTGATAAAAATGCCCCAAGTGTCCACCAGCTTCATGTGGATTCAGTGAAAACAGGGAGACCCGCTTAGATTTAGAGATCAGAGACCATTCTGAGTCTTGGATTCAGTCAGGAAACCCTGCACAGGAAATCTTAAGTATCTTATACTTTTTGATGTACCTTATCAAATCATAAGTGTAAAAGCAGCAAACTTACCCTTCATTAGTGTGACCACCTACTGTCTCACTGTCCACTGGAGGTTTTTTGCCACGGATGCTGCAATTCCCACAAAGTTCTTTGAAATAATGAATTTTTAACTATCTTAGTATTCAAGCATCAAGATGAAATATTGCTAAGAGTAACTCCTAATCACAAGACTTAACAATCCATTTTTCAAAACCGCAAAAAATCTTCACTGCCTCTTTAAACATTAACCAGCCTCTTGCCTGCAGTCACCACCCACAGGTTGACATTCCATCCCAACTTGCAGACATTGACAACTTTTATACTCCAAGCAAACAGGAGAATATAGGAGCTCATGCAGGGTGAGAGGCAGCGTTTGCCCTTAAAAACTACGTTTTGTGCCATCATGGTGCCTAGTTTGATCCCAGATCACTGGGTAAGGTAATAATTTTTCAAGGGCTTCCGCATCCCACTGGAACAATCGGGGTGTCTTATTGCTGCTTATTACTGGCTGTTTATAATACACACATCTTTGGAAATGGAAAAAAAAGGAAAAGGCTGCCTTCTGATCCCAGTGCCCCAGGAGGCACTACTAAACAGTTAAGCGGGAAACCTCATCACCATGGACAGGATGGAGAATTTCTTAGAACAAAAAAAATTTTTCTTCTACTGCTACAAAGGGCTCTGCATAACCAACTCACCAAGCAATTGCTACCAAGAAACAATGCCACATTCTCTGAATACATTTATCCACATGGTATGGTATCTGCAGCCCAACATCGACGACATCCAAGTTAAACGAATAAATATTTGCGTTGCAGAGTTGGATTTGTCTTGGAATACAACTGCTTCTCATGCGGTTTTGACACATGTGCATTGTCAAATAAATCACAGCTCACTGGGTGTGCACATTAAAAATAATTTGTCTATCTTGTTAGAAACCATCACATACTTCAGTTTAAGAGGTGTGAAACTGGGAGGGGAAGGTTTTACAGGCCTGAGACAACTACACATGGAGTCCGTCGAGGGAACCTCAAACACCTGACCCTTCACGGCCGCGGATGCCGGCTCCCGGCACTAACACCCACGGCGGCCTCGACGGCCCCATCGCGCCGTGTCCCCACCACCGGGCGGGAGCAGCTGGCTTCCCCGGGCGGGCGGCGGGGGCGAGGGCGGCGCGGCGGGTGCCCGTCCCCGGGGGCGGGCGTGCCTACCTCGGACTTCCACACGACGTAGGCGGCGGGGCGAGGCTCGGGCGGCGAGGGCTGCCCCTTCCTCTGTTGCAGCCAGCGCCGGGGCGAGGAGAAGATGCTGTTGGCGGGGCCGCTCAGCGCCAGGGCCGAGGGGGTGCGCGCAAGGAAGGGCACCTCGCAGCCGGGGCTCCGCTTCCCGCGGAGAGTCTCCTCGTCGAAGACCGCGCTGCCCGGCGGCGACCGCTCCAGCGGGGTGCTGGGGGTGGAGAAGGAGGCGCCGTGGGGCGGCGGGGCGCCCCGGGGACCGCAGCGCTCCCCGAGGGGGCTGCCGGCCGCCCGCGCCCGCGGCGCCCGCCCCGCGCCCTCGCCGTCCTCCCGCCCGCCGCCGATGATGGCGGGGTCGAGGCTGCGCGTCTGGCGGAGCCTCCGCTTGGAGAGGCTCTTGGCGGCGGCGGGGGCGGCGGCGGCCGAGGAGGAGCAGGAGAAGACGCTGCTCAGCAGGCTCTGCGCCGACATCGCGGCGGGCGCTGCCCCGGGCACGGCGGGGCAGTCGGGGGTCCCGCCTGGGCTCTCGCTGCCTCTGCCTCCAGCGCCCGCCGCAGAGGGGCTCTGGGGGCGGCCCCCACGCCCGGGCTCAGCCCCCGGCGGCGCGGCCCGACGGCGGCATCGCGGGGCTCATGGCGGCGTCCGGCGCTGGGGCTGCTCCGGGGCTGCCGCCGCCGCGGTCACTTTGCGGAGAGGGAGAGGGAGGGAGAGAAAAAAAAAACAAAGTTACGAGAGAAAAGGGGAGGGGAGACGGCAGCAGCGGAACTTTTATCTGGGCTCGCCGCAGGCTGCCAGAGTCACTCCCCCCTCGGCCGTGATGCGCACGGGAGCCCGGGCCGCCCACCCCGCACAGGCACCCCGGCGGTGGCGGGACCCGTCTGCACCCCCCGGAGCGGGGAGAGCCCGTCCCAGTGCCGCCCGCACCCCGGTGCCTCCGCCGGACGCCCACGCCGGAGCTGCGGGTCCCGGCGCTGCCGCACCGGCACGGGGTGGTTCTGTTTTGGGGAGGGATCGCGTAGCGGCGGACGGTTGTTTTTCGGAGCGATCGTTCCCGAGGCGCAGCCGGGGAAAGCTCCGGTCTGACCTTTCTGAGACCAGCGCAGCGTCGCCCTCCCTCCTGGGCTGAAGGTTCTGGGACCCCCCCGTCTGCCCCGGCTGTGCCGGAGAGAGCTGAAGACTTCAGGAAAAACCCACAGCAGTAGGCAGGGTGCTCGCAGTGTGCAGCACACGGGACGGGACCTTCTTCTGGCCCGTGTCTCTCTTTCCATCCCTGCCAAAACACCTGCTTTGAGGGCACGTGTCCGACAGGCAGCATGGGTCACCTAAGACCTGTAAAAAGAGAGTGTGACCAATGAAGCTAAACCTCCTCAGGACAAGTGACTGGACATGCTTGATCTCCCATTGAGCCTTTTTCTGCTCTATATCTCGAAGCATAGGCAAGGAAACTTTTACCAGAAAAACATAACAAACCTGGAAAAGGCAAAACTGTAAAGAAATTAAGAAATAGAATGCACACAGAAGAACAATACCATGCAGCACCATGAAGGCAGCCAGACAGCTCCTTACTCACCTGGAGAGAAGGAAACAGTCCCTCAGACTCCCTATAGACTCTGACTCCTGCCCCAACTCCAACTGGGAATATTACAATCCTCCCCTCACTGGAAGCAGTTCAACAGCAATGCTTCTCAGGTTCTTTCTGGACCCCATACACCATAATTTAGTTAATGTTTTAACTTTATTAAGTAACCATTAGCTTCATGGCTAGGTTCAGTTCGGTTCCTCTTTTGTCAGCGAAGACTACAGCCGTTATATCTTTCGATATGGAAAGCAAAACACAAAACCAAATCCTTCCACACCTATACTTTCATTTAGAGAGTGCGTGGAAGATGCCTAAGGACAGACAGACTAGCTAAAAACTCCTGTGCAAGTCTTGAATCTCCCCTGTCTCAGACAAACTCACTTGTTAGACTGCTGATTCTGTGGGGCCTAAGCATCCTTCTTTTGACTTGAAAACCCACCAGCTCCACAGTCTCCCCAAAAGTGTTGCAGGCAACTCTTAAAAAACTCCTTAGAAAAAGGTTATTTTGAAAAGAAAAGTGCTTGAGCACAACAAAAGGGTTATTAATTTCTCCTCATTCTGCGTTTTCTCTTCAAACCCTAGTGCAGGGTTGTGTTGTTCTCCCTGATATCCTGGAGCCTGTGCAGGTAAGTGGTCCGTGGCAGCACTTTCTGGTTTCATCAACAGAGGGAGTAGACAATTCCGTCCTGTGTGGTGCTGTTTAAATTTCATAAAGAGCAACAGCACAAGAGCCCATCCACTTTCAAAGGAAGGTGTTCTGTTTTTAGGTAATGTTTCCAAATGGGATTCTTTTTTCTTTTTTTTTTCTTTTTTTTCTTTTCCTTTTTGTCTGCAAAGTAGCTTTTCCCCCTTATTTTAATAAGCTGTGCTATTGCCTAATTCCAAGTTCCTCCACAGCTAAGGTTGCAGCTGTTTCTGTTTAAAGCTTCGTTTTGCCTCCTCATTAATGCTTTCAATAAGGTCTCATGCATGAGACTACGAAGAAGGTCTGAAGCGTAAAAGAATAATCCGTGTTTGTTTCTGCAGTTCTGTGCCCATGGTAGCAATTTGGTTGAGAGAACCCATCTGCAGTACAACTATACAGATGTGTGGCTCCAAGTATTTGTTTCTTGTGTCCTCTACAAACGTATCATGGGACCATAAAGGGACAGGAAGACATGAGGAAAAAGGCAGAGAGGGAAATTCAGAGTTATAAGGAGCTCATCACTTGAGGAGTAGAGAGGACGGTCACAGCTGCATCCAAAATCCACTAAAAACTGTTTATGCCATTCTCTGTGAGGTACATTGCCGATTTTGCAGAGCTGATACTCTTGGGCACAGCCAGCTGCCAGTGGGCAAACCTTCAAGTGCCAACTCGGATCGTTTCACACTGCACATACAAACTGTGAAAGGAGTCTGAAACAATCAGATAAGTGCATAGTTAGGAGCATACATCACTTTACAAGTAACTACTTAAATGAGATGGGAACAAAGCATTCTTATTTCCACCTGCTTCAGTCCAGGCATGACTACTGCACAGCTGGATTTCTTCATGAAAGCCCCCATGAAAAATTATAGTTTTCATGAGATATAGACCTGGAGCATCACAGCTGAAATTCAAAGAGTAAATACAACATATGTATAGAGATGCTTCGTGTAGACAACTTCACTACCTGTCTTAGCTTCTCTCTGCATCTTTCAGGAGAAACAGCAATAAAAGCACTTACTGATTATTTTTAAAGTTTCTGTTCCTTATCACTGCATTATTATGCATTATTATGAACTGCATTATTGTGAGACCTGGCAGCACCACCCTGCAGCTAGGCTCAGGGGCTCAAGTGGGCTTGGTACAAGCACAGGACAAAAATATAGCCCTAGTCCCCAAACTGTAGCGGTAACCTCCAGACATAAGATACCAGCTGTGCAGCCATATCTGCAGAGGAATAGTGAGACAGTACTAATTGATCTTATATTGGTTGTCAGCCCTTCTTTCTCTTACAAAGCAAAGCTGTTTGTGTAACACCTGTCATTGCAACCATAAGTTTGCAATAGCAGTCAAGGAACTGAAAGACCTAGCATGGATTTACCAAGGGTGAATTATATGTAACTAACCTGATCACCTGCCTTGATCTATGGATGATGGGACAGCAGTGGATAGGAGGCTTTTGGCACAATCTCCCACAGCTTCCTTTCTGAGACAGAGAGAAAAACTGATTGAATCATAGTGAGTAATGGTTCATACTCTACAGGGAAGCTGGTTACAAGTGCAGTTCTTCATAAGTCTGTATTGATTCGTGTCCTGTTTCATATCCATATCAATAGCCCAGAGGAGGACTCAGAGTGCACTTTCATCAAGTTTGTGGACAACATCAAATTAAAGCATATAGTCAACATGCTCCAGGGAAGGGCTGCCATTCAGAGGGGCTTAGACAGGCCAGATGAATGTGAAAACAGGGATCTTATAAAAGTCAGTGAGGACGAGTGCATTTGGTGTGGACTTACCCCTGCATTTCTATGGTCTGGGGAGCAACTCTGATGGGAAGGAGCTCAGGTGCTCTGATGGTCAATAGCCAAACATGATGGAGCACGAAGCCCTTGCAAGGATGAAGGCTAAGAGAATCCTGGGCTGCATCAAAAGAAACGTAGTCAATAGACTGAGGGAGGTGATTTTTTGCTTTTACACAGCATTCGACAGATCTCGTATGGAACAGTCTAGTTTGTGTGACTGCAATTAAGGAGGACTTTAATAAACTTCAGCTTGGAGGGCCACCAAGACAGTTTGAAGCTGGAACATTTGCCCTGTGAGGATATGCCAGGAAAGCTGGACTTGCTCATCCTGGGGAAGGGGGAACCTAGTAACATAACAGCCTTCCAGTTCCTGCGAGGGAGTTATCAAGAAATTGAAGCCAGGCTCTGTACTGAAATTCAGAGTGAGTGGATGACAGAGAGTAGTCAAAAATAGACAGAGAACTTAATGTAAGGAAAAAAATGTCACTGAGGATTATTAAGCACTGGAACAGGTTGTGGAATCCCCATCATTGGTGGTGTTCAAGACCTGACTGAAAAAGGCACTGAACAACCTTGTCTTAGTTTAGTTTTTACCCTGCTGTGAGCAGGAGGTTGGACTAGAGACCACTTGAGGTTCCCTCCAACTTGAACAACTCTCTGGTTCTAACCAAATATTAATTTTGGACTAAAGTCAAGAAAACCTTACCCTTCAGAAAATTTTAGAGATTTTGTATAAATGCCTGTCACCTGACTTAATAGCAAGCCTGCTGCATGGGCAAGTTTTAGAGAAGTTATGGTCCTAGAGTTATTTTAACAATCTGGTTTTATTAATGCCCCAGTAAAGTGAAATTAGAAGGAGATACTGCCACCTGTTTTGGTTGCACTTTAAAAAACAAATTCCTTAACAAAATAAGAGTGTATTCATCTCAAGAATTAAACAAAATCTGTTCAGATTTCTGAATAAATCTCTGAAAACAAGGGTGAATCAGAAAACAGGAGCATTTTGTTTTCTTATTATTCCTTTAGAATTTATTAAACATTAAAAAAAACTCAAAGCCACACTTCTACCTTACTTTTTTTCTTACAGAAGGATTTCTAACTTTGTCATTCTTGAGATTTGATTTTTTTAACAGAAAGACTTTTATCTAAAATTTATCTCTTCCAGTTTTTCCATTAAGATGAAATATCTGCTACATTTTTTACAGAACTTTTGTCTATATTGCAGTGGAATTGATCTGCAGACATTTCAGCACATCATTCAAGACTGATTGTCCAAAAGAGAAAGCCCTACACAAGTGTTTGTGGAAGCAGCTGGGGAATGGGTGCATAAGTCCACATAAGGAGCAAGCACCTTTCTTTGGCTCCAGTGGTGTTTGACCTTCACCCATCTGGTGACCAAGTACTGTGATGGCCTGGTCCTGTTTCTACAGAGGCTACCATGTGTTTTGACAGTGACCTCAGCAAGACATAGATGGCTGTGTGGTAGAAAGTGTTTGGATGTGACTAGGAAGGAAATTGCCCACAGGGTTGCGTCTCCCTGTTTCTTACCTGGCATA